GCTTTTCCCTATATGGCAGAGCTAGGAGCACTGGGCTATAAGGAGACAGATTTAGCTGGGCTCAGTTTCTGGTAGGAATCTCCCTCTGGATCCCTCTGTGACTGGACAAGTTGACTGTGTCATCCCTTTTGCGCCTTCACCTTGTCTCTGTCCTTCCTCGCCCCTGGCTTTTCCCCTCTACTGCCCTGTCCTTTTTGTCTCTGTCCCATCCTTCCCTATCCCCTGCCCCTTGTCTCCTCCCCCTTCTCTATCTGTCTCTTGTCTCTATCCCAATCCTTTTCTGACCTCAGTTCCTTGTCTCTGCCCCTATCTTTCCCTGCCCCTTCTCTTTGTCCCTTTCCCTCCTTGCCCCTGCCTCTTGTCTCTACTCCCCTCCCCCCTGCCTCTGTCCCATGACTCTACCCCATCCTTCATTGCCCCTTGTCCCTGCCCCATCCTTTCTTGGCCCTAGTCCCTGTCCCTCCCCTCCCCTGCCCCTGTTCTCTGCCTCTGTCTTTCCCTGCCCCTCTCCCTTGATGTCTTTGTTCCTATGGAGCAGGCAAAATCAGGGCTCCCAGCTGTCAAGAAGGGGAGAGCAGGGGGCTGGGGTGGGGGGTGGAGTGGCCACCAGTTGCCAGAAGCACATATGAGATGGGAATTAGCTGCTCTCTGGGTCATCAGGGTTTGCGCACGGCTCCTGCCTTGGTACAGAAATAGCTGCTTCAGTCAGGGTAGGGTGTGTGTGTGTGTGTGTGTGTGTGTAGCAGGTTGGGGGTGGGTGAGTAAAGTGTGATTGAAAAGAATTGCTCTCACACTGGGGGCTGCTGTAGAGCCAGGGACAGGGCTGGGTTACTGTGTCACTCTGAATTACTTCCTCTCCTTCTCCCATAATAACCCAAAGGAAATGACAGTAGACACAGAGAAGGGGAAGTTGGGGGGGGCACCAGGTCCCTACGGCTGCCGGCATATTTCCCTCCAGACACACACCTGTTCCCCACCCCCTCCTGGAGAGATGACCCATCCTGGAGAAAGGGTGGGGGATGGGGGGCACAGTAGCTCAGTCATCACAATGCCTCTGTCCTGCCCTTCAGTGTATGAGACTCCTGAACTGAAGAGCTCAAACACAAGGGGACTGTGAGAGCACTGGCATAGGGAGGTGTGTTTTTGAGAGTTCCCTGAACACTTAGACCAGACAGAATTACCACTCCTGCCAATATATCTCCTTCCTGCCCTGATACACATAAAATGCATGCATGTACACACTCACAGTGCATATTGGATCCCCCCAAGCTATTCCTTTTGTGCAGGTACTGTTTTTCATTTTGCTTAGTCCCCAGCACAGTACCTTGTACCTAGTAGGGCACTTGAATGATTGTTGGTTTGGATAAGATTGCATTATATGCATTATGGCCTCCTTCTTTTCCTCTCCTCCAAACAACTCACATTCATAAACGAAGACAAGACACAACCATAGATACAAAAAAAAAATGTGCACAATACTGGTAAAATGGAGAGAATAATAATACCTGCTTCCTGGGTTGTTATAAAGACCAAATGAGATATTTGTTAAGTTATACTTAGCACAGTGCCTGGCACTAGTCCCTGTCCCTCCCCTCCCCTGCCTCTGTTCTCTGCCTCTGTCTTTCCCTGCCCCTCTCCCTTGATGTCTTTGTTCCTATGGAGCAAAGTGCCTGGCACAGAGTAGGTGCTATATAAGTGTTAACTATTATTATCGTGGTTATGTTATTATTATTATGACACACACCAACACACACGCATACATAGATCTAGAACACACAGCGCACCGCTGGTTGGCAAACACTGTGCCCACATAGTGTACCTATTATACAGCTCCTGTATTGCCTGACCCTGATTAATTGACAGGGTAGTGCAGTGAAAATAGCATAGAAATTGAAATCCCTTTGGTGTGACCTTGGACAGTCTCTTAACCTCTGTCAGCCTCAGTTTCCTCAACTGTAAAATGATGGATGTTGGGCTATATCACAGAACTTGAGAGCTGGAAGGGACCTCAGCAGAAATCTAATTTAATCCATTTTTGTTCTGTCATTTTCAGTCGTGTCACTCTTCATGACCCCATTTAGGATTTTATTGGCAAAAATACTGGACTGGTTTGCCATTTCCTTCTCCAACTCATTTTACAGATGAGGAAAGTGAGGCAGACAGGGTTAAGTGACTTGGTCAGGATCACACAACTAGTATATATCTGAGGCCAGATTTGAACTCATGAAGATGAGTGACTATTCCTGACTCTAGGCCCTGCACTCTCACTGCACCACCTCGCTGCCCTAATTCAATCCATATAAGAATGGGATCCCTGCCACAATGTACCCAACAAGTAATCATTCAGTCTCTGCTTGAAAGTCTCCAGGGAGGAAGGGCCCACCACTTCCAGAAGCAGCCCATTCAACTTCTGATCTGCAAAAAATTGTGTTAAAATTTTCCTTGCCTTCTAGGCTAAAATTTCCTCTTTGTAATTTCCAAACCCCATTGGTGCCGTCCCTTGGGGCCAAACTGAAGACATTTACTCATTTGTTCACCATGACAGCCCTTCCAGTGCTTTAAGGCAGCTCTTGCACACATTCCCCTTGAGTCTTTTCTCTGCATTAAACATGCCCAATTCTTTTTTTGGGGACTAGGCAATGGGGTTAAGTGACTTGCCCAGGGTCACGCAGCTAGTAAGTGTTATGTGTCTGAGGCCGGATTTGAACTCAGGTCCTCCTGAATCCAGGGCTGGTGCTCTATCCACTGTGCCACCTAGCTGCCCCTACATGCCCAATTCTTTCAACTGGTCTCTGGTGAGATCAGACTATCTCTGTCAACTCTCTTTCAGTCCTACATCCTATGATTCTATGAAGAACAACATATACACTCAGACATGTGTTCTGACAAATAGAGGCACAAATATACACACTGCCCAGCATGGTACAGTGGAAAGAGGACTGCCTCTGGAATCAGAGGAACTGGGTTTGAATCTTACTTCAGAAGCTTACTCTCTCTATGATTATGGGGAAATCACAACCTCTCTGGGGTTCTGTTTTCTCATCCATAAAATGAGGGGGTTGGACTAGATGACCTTTGAGCCCTCTTCCTGCTCTATAGATCTGTGAATCCATCCTTATTCGTACCCTAACCCTCCTGGTACAGCAACGTTGGAGTCTGGGAAAATCTGCCTTCAAGTACTGCTTCAGATATTGTGTGTGTGAGACTCTGGGGTAAGTCACAGGTAAGTGCCCTCAAGCAACTCTGTAATGCTATAAATTGCAGAACAGTTGCTGATTTGCATTGACAGAAGCAGTTTCCTTATTGGGAGTTCCCTGAATCCAAGAAATTACAGATCCAGATAATACAAACCCCCAAAATCTTCACTTCAAACACTCTTCTTTCTGGGAATGGAATGACGACATAGACTGAAAGAGGGAGCAGAGAGCAGAGTTCCCAAGGTCTTGGAGGAGAGGTCAAAGCTTGCATCTGCTCCCAGAGTCTCTCCTCAACAATAATAATGATAATAATAATATTAATAATGATAATAACCAACACAAAGTGCTTACTGTGTGCCAGGTACTGGTCAAAGCACTTTACAATTATTACCTCTCTTGATCTTCCCAACAACACTGGGAGGTAAGTGCTATTATTATCTCCATTTTACTGATGAGGAAACTTAGTCAAACGGGTAGAGTGACTTGTCCAGGGTCACATAGTAAGTATCTGGGGTCATTTTTGAACTCGAGTCCTCGTGACTCCAGGACTAGCACTCTATCCACTATAGCCTAGTTGCTCTGATAGTTTAGTCAGAGATTGCTAGAGACTGGAGGTGAGGCATAGGATAGGGTTGGACTGAGAACTAGAAAGACTTGAGTTCAAATTCTGCCTCAAACACTTACTTGGCCTTATCTCAGCCTTCATTTCCTCATCTTTAAAATGGGGATAATAATTATACCTGCTTCATAGGGTTATTGTGAAGATTAAATGAAATAATCTATAAAAATAAGCGCTATGTAAGGTCTAGCTATTGTTGTTGTGAGAGCCCTCTTTCTCTTTCCCCTTCCCCCCCTTCCATAGCACAAACACTGGTTAAATTTCTTTCTCTATACTCCTTTCAAGGTATTGCCTGTCTTCTAGAACCAACCTAAAGGTTTCTGTTTCCTCTTGCCTTTAGGGGCCTGGTCTCTCCTCCTCTCTCCTTTCCTTTTCCCCCATTGGTACCTCCTTCTCCCTCTCCCCACCCAGAGATCAGCATTTGTAAGGCATTTGAAAGATGCTGACCCAGCAACCCAAGAATTTCACACATGTGGAATGAGCCCCTCCACCACCACCATCACAGAAGGCCAGCTGGGCATTCAGCACGTGGCAAGGCACAGCAGACAGCAGGAGTTGGGTGCCCTACTTTTCTGCACGGGGCTAGTACCCAAATGTGTCTGTCTGCTGTGCTAGGTTGTTGGGAACTCCCAGTGGGGTGGCAGGGGTGAGTGTTGTGCCATTACTCTGAGCAAAGGATGCCTCCGAGGTTGGGAGGGAGAAATCTCCCCTCCACGTGTCACCAATTAAATATTGGTTAGCTGGACTGTGCCCCAACCCTCACCGTATTCCCTTCCCTCTTCCAACCATCCTCTGCTCCCTCTCCCAAACAACCCCACATACCAAACCCTGACTCATAGGGAACAGATGGAGCTTGGTATTGGGGGAGGGAAGAGAGAGATTCATTTTGACCCATTTCCAGGTTGTCATTGGGATAAGGGGGTGAGGGAAACTGGGAGGATGAGGATGTGTTTGACAAGAGGCAGCACAACATAGCAAAAGGAACTCTGGACTGGGAGTCAGGAGACTTGGATTTCAACCACTTAACAAGTCATATTTTCCTCAAATTCTCATTCTTTCCCATTAAATGAGCCAAGCTGAACTAGATAGATGATCACTAAAGTCCTTTCCACCTCTAATAGTCTATGATCTATGGGAATTAGGACCTGGGGGCTCTTCTCTCCTTCCCTTTCTCCTTTACTCACCACAAGGTTCCCGATGACCATAACCATGAGAAAGACGGTGAGGCACATGGGCTGACCGGCCACCTCCATACAATCCCACATGGTTTCAATCCACTCGCCACACAGGATGCGAAAAACAATGAGGAAGGAGTGGAAGAAGTCATGCATGTGCCAGCGTGGCAGGGTGCAGCTGGAATTAATCTTACACACGCAGTCCTTGTAGCTCTTCCCAAAGAGTTGCATGCCCACCACAGCGAAGATAAAGACGATGATGGCCAACACCAGCGTCAGGTTTCCCAAGGCCCCCACTGAGTTGCCAATGATCTTGATGAGCATATTCAATGTGGGCCAGGACTTGGCCAGTTTGAAGACTCTCATCTGGGGATAAGGAATGAATTAATGAAAATATAATGGATGAACCTCTTTTATTAAGATGTTCTCCAGGGCAGCTAGATGGCACAGTGGGTAGAGCACTGGCCCTGAAGTCAGGAAGATCTGAGTTCAAATCTGGCCCCCAACCAAACACTTGACACTTACTAGCTGTGTGACCTTGGGCAAGCCACTTAACCCCAATTGCCTAAAAATAAAAAAAATAAAAAAAAGATGTTCTCCCATCTTGAGCTGTAGGGGAGAAATATGGCCATCTTTGATGAACTCCTACTTTGATGGAGCACATGCCCTTCTTGCCTATGGGAAACCATCTGTCCCTATTCTTGGGGAGTTCCTATCCTGATAGGAATGGGAAAGAGTATCAAGATGCGGTGAGGGTAGGGTCAAAAGGATTTTAGTTCAAGTTCTGCTATTAACCAGTTATCATAGGATTTAAAGCTGGATTGGACCATAAAGATAATTTAATCCAGTCCCCTTATTTTATGGCTAAGGAAACTGAGGTCCAAAGAGATTGAATGAGTTACCAAGTTTGTTGTTGCTCATCATTTCAGTTGCGTCCTATTCTTTGTGATCCCTTCTGGGGTTTTCTTGGCAGAGATACTGGAGTGGTTTGCCACCTCCTTCTCCAGCTTATTTTACAGATGAGGAAATTGAGGCAAATGAGATTAAGTGACTTGACCAGGGTCACACAGCTAGTAAGTGTCTGAGGCTGGATTTGAATTTAGGAAGATGAATCTTCCTGACTCTTCACCTCCTACCTGCCCATTTCCAAGTTTATACAAGTTCTATGTCCCAAGAATTTGGATTCAAATCTGATGAATCCTTGAGCTCAACATGCTCATAACAGAAATTACCATCTTTCTATTCCAGATTGACCCTGATTCTCCCATTTCTGTCAATGGCACCACTACTCACCCAGGCTTAAATCTCATTGCTGTCCTTAACTCTTCCCTCTCTTTCAAGTCCTATGTCAGTCAGTCAATAAACATTCTTTAAGTGCCTGCTAGGTGCCAGGCACTGTGCTAAATGCTTGGGATATGAAGAAAAGCAAAAGACAGTCTTCGCCCTTGAGGAGTTGATAATCTATGTCCAGTTACCAAGTCCAGTTGATTCTATCTCTGTAATATCACTTTAATCTGTCCCCTTCTTTTTTATTCCCATCGCCACTTCCCTAGAAGATGGCTTGCTAATCAGCTTCTGACTATGATTAGCAGCCTCCCACTGTCTCTTTCTTTTCCAATCTTCCATAATGATACATCTGATCATGTCAGCCCCACACTCAAAACCCTTCCATTTCTCGCAATTGTCTACTAAATAAAGCCAAGACTCCTCAGGTTAACATCACAGACTTTTTTCTAGTCACTTTTTCAATCTTATTTCACATTTCTTTTCTTCATGTGTGCTATACTCTATCCATATTGGATTATTCACTATTACTTGGGAGTCTGTGTAGACATAGAGATGGGACAATGCACCTCCCATCTTTATTGTCTTTACTTATACCAATTTCTATTCCAAGAATAGTCTGTTTCTCACTTTTGATATCTTACCCATCCCTTAAGATCCCTCTTAAATGACACCTCTTCCAGAAAGTCTTCCTTGAGCCTCTCTCCTGGTCAGAAATAATCCAGTCTCCAATAAGACTTTGTACTTCTTTGTGGTCATATATACTTACTACATAGTATTGAATATTTGTATCATATGCCCCATGCTAGATTTTAAGTTCTATATGGGCAGGCAGTGTGTTCTAATCATCATTTTATGTTTCCTCGGGCTTAGTACAATGTTGTGCACATTAGACAGCCAAGTGGCACATTGGATAGAGCACTGGAAGTTGTTGTTGTTGAAAACCCCCATTTGGGGTTTTCTTGGCAGAGATACTGGAGTGGTTTGCCATTTTCTTCTTCAGCTCATTTTACAAATGAGGAATCTGGGGCAAATGGGGTTAAATGACTTGCCTAGGGCCACACAGCTAGTAAGCATCTGAGGCCAGATTTAAACTCATGAAATGAGTCTTCCTGATTCCAGGCCAGGCACTCTATCCACTGCACCACCTAGCTGCCCTATTTTAAAAGTTAGAGTGGTTATATGAAAATGATAATGATGAGACAGGGGAGACATTGAACCAGCTCTTGTAGAGTTCATAATCCTACCGGGTGAGACATAATCCCTGCCCTTAGGGAGCTTCTAGTCCAATAAAGGAGACATGATCCCAACATGTGGAATTCGCAGTACAATGGGGGAGACACTGTCCCAAATCTCCGAGGGCTCCCAGCCTGATGTAGGAGACATAGTCCCTGCCTTCAGTGAGCTCTCAGTCCAAGAAAGAAGACATGGTTCCCAACCCTAGGAGTTCCCAGAGTAACAGGGGAGGGGACTGCCAGGCACCCCCAGTCTAGGCACCTACCAAACGGAAAGATCGAAGCACAGAGAGCCCTTGTACATTGGCCAGTCCCAGCTCTACCAGGCTCAAGGTGACAATAAAACTGTCAAAGATGTTCCATCCCTGCTGGAAGTACTCATAGGGATCCATTGCAATCAGCTTCAGCACCATCTCTGCGGTGAAGATACCTGTGAAAACCTGGGGAGAACAATCACTGTTACAACTGCATCCTAATCTCCTCCCCTTCATTCACAGAATGACCCCCTCCCTCCCAAATGCGTAAAATGGGTGCCAGGAATCCCCCTTTAGAGCCTACTCCCTTGGAATTCTCCCCTTATGGCTTCTGAACGTCCATAAGGCATCGAGAAAGGGGGCCTAGGGCTGTCTACAATAGTAACTAACTGATGATGCACTGACCTTGGAATCAGAAAAACCTGAGTTCAAATCCTGCCTCAGACATTTATGAGCTGTGTGACCCTGGACAAGTCACTTAACTTTTGTCTGCCTCAGTTTTCTCAATTGTAAAATGGAAATAGTAGTAGCATCTGCCTTGCGGCATTGTAAGGATCAAATATTTACATAGTATGTAGTATAGTATCTGGTACATAGTAGGTGCTATCTAAGTGCTTTGCTCCCTTTCTTTCCCTTTCTCCCCCTCCTTACAGTTTCTAGAGAACCGCAGGATATCAGTGAAGGGAACCCAGGGCCGTGAGCTTCAGCAGCAATCTATTCCCTGGGCTTAGTAGGAAACAGTGGCAAGAGAGCAGAGCTGGGCACAGCCCCAGAGGCCTCTGCACCCTGGCTCTGCACCTGTCTGTGCCAAATTCAACAAGCATTGATTAAGCACTCATTATGTGCAAAGTACAAAAAGAAAATCTGATATGAACCGAAGGAATTCTTTTCCTGATTAAACTTAAGGTGCTGCTGACTTTGTGTGCCTGAAATGGAATTTGGGAGATAGGGTGGGGGAGGGGTGCCCTCCAGGGCAGAGTGGGAGATAGATGAGGGAACTGGGACCCACTCTTTTCAAAAGCCCTGGTCTCCGTGGGTGTCAATTAGATCCCTGATCCTGATTTCATACTGGGATTTGAGCTGCTTAGCCTCAAAGCTGTAGGGGAAGAGGTCTCAAGCCCTAACCCATGGACACAGACAGGCCCTCAGAAGGGCCTCTTTTCCAACCTGCCTCAGGCATATGCTGAAGCCCTCTCTGGGGAGCCTTCTTTGGGCATAGCAGGTGCCCAGACCACAGAAAACAGCAAAGGTCCAGGGCCCAGCCAGTGGAACACACCCTAAAGCAGCTGTGTGGCTTAACCAAAGGGAAAACCCATTTCCAGACCTGATACCGTGTCTCTGGATGGACATTCCTCAGGGCCCCTTTGGCCTTCCCAGTCCCCCCACTTGTCACTCCATCTACACCCCAGCTCTCACCCCTGAGGCCCCTGTGTCTAGGGTTCTACCTAGGGCTAATTCCCGTTCTTTCTTGGTATCTCTTGCCTCCCCACATAGGAGGTTTCTCAGGACCCATCACTCCCCAAATTCATTGTGGTAGGAGCTAAAGCAAGGACCAGAGGAGGCTTAGCTTCCCTTTGTCTGGGCCTGGCTCCCAGCGAGGGCTGGGAATGAGGTGCTAATGCTTCTAATGGTGAGGGGATAAGCACAGAGATCAGTGCATGTCAACAATAGAGAGGGAGGGTGGGGAAGGGAAATTGGGGCAGACTGGCAGGCAGGCAGGCCTGGAAACCTTAGGACTAGAGAGTGGAAAAAGAGGAGACTGGAGCCCAATAATTCTTAAGCCCTCATATCCCTCATTCTGGGAATCTGCAAGTTCCATAGTCACACTGCACAACATTTGTCCTCTGTATCCCCTGTTGCAGGAAGAGATCGGGACCCTGGGACATGGATCCCCTCCTCCAAGACAGGCTAACACCAAAGACCCATCACACTCTCAGTGACTTAGGTTGCCTAGATATCTCCAAGAACCCTCACACTTAGCTATATATAACTCCAGATACTTCCTTAGGACATTCCCACAGACATCCACATACCCCTACCATCATCCATACAATTGCGACATCTTCCAGATACCTTCAGATGCGGCTTAGACGTTTAGAACTGAAAGGCATCTCAAAACTGAAGTCTTAAAAGAAGTGACTAGCCCATGATCCATATGACCATCCAAAGGGATGATAAGTAGCAGAGCCATGTTTTGTTATCTCTATTATACATGCCAGCAATGGGTAGGTAAACCCAAGAGCCCAGGTAATAACAACTCCCTCTCACTCTGCCACACCCCTCACCCCAGCTCTGCCTCCAGCCAGACCCCTGTAGCCTTTCTCCAGAGACGAAACCCCCGTGGAGATTGGACCTGGAAACTCCCTCTTCAGGTACTGCAGGGTTCACGTCCTACGGGTGTTTGTTGTTGTTCAATCATTTCAGTCATCTTGACCCTATTTGGGCTTTTCTTGGCAAAGATACTGGAGCAGGTTTGCCATTTACTTCTCCAGCTTATTTTTTACAGATGAGGAAACTGAGGCAAGCAGAGTGAAGTGACTTCCCCAGGGTCACACAGCTAGGAAGTGTCTGAAGCCAGAATTGCGCTCAGAAAGATGAGTCTTCCTGACTCCAGGCCCCCTGCACTCTATCCACTGTGCTACTTAGCTGTACCTCCTAAGGGGGTACACTTACTGAAAACCCAAAAAAAAGGTCTCACCACTAAAATCCTCAGCATTGTCAAATGATTCATCGTCAGAAGCAGATATGGATTTCTCAATGGAAATGACTCTAAATAAAAGGTCTTGCCATCTGCACCCTAAGGACCACTTGGCCTTTCCATATGACTTGCAGCTGAAACTTTTTATGTGTGGTTTCCCCCATTATTTATCATAGATTCAGAGCTAGAAGGAACCTCAGAAGCCATCTGGTTTAACCTCCTCTCATTTAGAATGGGAGCTACTTGAGAACAGGAACTGTCCTGCGTTTTCATTTGTACCCCCAACACTTAACACAGTAATTTGCTTGTAGTGAGCACTTACTGAATGCTTCACTATTCATTCATTCATTTATTCATTCATCCTTCCATTTACCCACAGACTCCCGCCTCACACTCCCGTACATACACTCAGAAATTTACCACATTTACCCATCCCTCTGTTCCCTTTCTCCATAGAAATCCCTCCATCCCCTCATCCCCCTCTGTACCAGGTTGCCCACAGAGAGCACATGCTCAAACTGGGGAGTCATGGGGTAATGCTCCATGGCCATGAAGACTGTGTTGAGCACAATGCAGATGGTGATGCCCAGGTCCACAAAGGGGTCCATGACAATCAGGTATACAATCTTCTTTAGCTTCACCCATGGAGCACAGCAATTCCACACCAACAGTGTATGGGCACACTTGTACCACCATGGTGGGCACTTCTGATGGGCCTCCTCCAACTCTGGGGGTAGGGGGTAGGAAGAAGAAAGCTCAAGGTGTTTCAGGCCCGCTATCCCTCCTTCCCATTTTGGAAATAAATTGGGGACAAAATGAAACTCTGCCCATGAGGAGGAACCAGGAGCAGGTATAGCTAGGTTCTTCCAAAGGATAGTTGGAGAGATTTCAATACTTCTTGTGAGTGGACAGACAATAGAAAAAGAAGTGTTCTCCCTCCACCTCCCCACCACCCAGGGAAAAGGAGGAAGAATTTAGAACCATATGTCAAAGGGCAGCAAGAGTTGGCTTTAGGAAATCCTTTGATTTAAAGGGAGCATTACCTAGACCTGGGAGTTAGGGAAGGGAGATTGGGGAGGTGTGTAACTTGGACTAGGAGTAGATGAGATTAGCAGCACCTAGGACAGGGGTCCCCAACATTTTTGGTCCCAAATACATCTTGACTTTCAGTAAACTTTCCCATGCCCCCTATTCAATATGAAAGGAAATAAACTCCAGAATTTGTCATGCATATGCACATAATAATATCAATAGGATAATATAATTATTCACCAAATATTTCCCATGTTCCTTTTTTGTCCCCCTGACCTAGAGGCAGTGTGGCCCACAGAAGAGTGTAATGAGGGATACATATTGTAACTTTTTACAAATGCCCACACATCTTTAATGTCAGAAAATCTCACTCTCAACAGAATGCAGGTATTTATTTTGTGATAAATCAAACTATTATTATGATGGCTTAAAGCTTCAAGTAGACAGTGGGTAAGGGTAAAGGAAGGTTTTTTTAAAACTTTGTCCTTAAACTTTTTCCACTCGCTACCCTTCAGCGTTTCTTAAACTGTGGGTCAAGACCACATATGGTGTTCACGACTCACAGTTTGGGGTAGATATGACATCTCCACTTCCATTTCCAACTATTGCCTGGATGCCATCTCAGAATCAAGATATCTTAATGGAATTTCTTCCTGAAATTGGCTCCTCCTCCTGACTTCACAGTTTTTACCAATGTCCTCACCATTCTTCCAGGCACAAGTTGAGTCCATCTATTCCTTGCCATTCCTTTGACTAATTACTAGTCCACACTTGTACTATTGCAATAATTTCCCAGCAGGTCTTTTTTATTTCATCTTTCCCCTTTCAATCTATCCTATGTACCATTGCTAGATTAATTTTCCTAAAGCATAGCTCTTATCTTTCCTCTCTTCCTTTTTTCTTTATTCCTTTCTTTTCTTCCTTCCTTCTTCCTTCCTCCCTCTTTTCTTTCTTTTTTTCTTTCTTTCTTTTTTCTTTCTTCCTTTCTTTCTTTCCTTCCTTTCTCCCTCTTTTCTTCCTTCTTTCCTTCCTTCCAAACCTGCATGCTTTTCCAAACCTATGTACTTTATATGTCTAACATGATTGTATATGTATAACCTATATCAGACTGCTTTCAGTCTGGGAGGGGGAAGTGGAGGGATGGAGAAAAATTTGGAAAAATCTTTACAAAAATGAATGTTGAAAACTATCTTTACATGTAATTGGAAAAAAATACTATTAAGCAAACCTATGTGCTTTGGAAAAGGAGTTGGGCCAGGCAGGCATAAAGTGAAAGGAAAAGAGATAGATAGCTCAATTGCTGCACCCACTGGGAAATCCTCCAGTAAGTTTGTATATCAAATCTAGAGGATCTATGGGGAAACATGGACAAGAAGCACATTAGATTACAAGACATGGATGAACTGAGATCTATGTCATTGGACGAGTGTCCACATCAATGAGAGCCTAGATTCACTGAGGAAATATTGAAGAAGTATGTGTGATTATTGTCAAAATCTTTGAATGGTGAATTTTGAGGGATTGAAATCTCATTATTCTGGAGTAGAGGAATGGGGCTAAAACAAAACAAAACAAAACAAAACAAAAAACCCACCTGGAGTGAGGACAATGTGCACTTCCTGTAGGAAGGTGTTATTCTTTGTCTTTTGACTAACACAATATCTGATGCCATAGCAGGTGCTTAATAAAACTTAGTTAAATTGAATTAGATTGAATTGGGATATCAGGCTCTTCTCTACTCATTACTATTTTGAATAAATATTCTCTATTTAAATACTAGTTGGAACTCTGAGGCTGTTTGCAGGAATAGAAACTAACTATTCATAAGGTTCTTAGCCTAAGGTCCATGGATTTTTTCCCCTAAATTTCAGGTTATTTGTTTCATTGGTAATCTTACTTACTTTGTTTTATACATTTAAATACATTTCTCTGAGAAGGGGTCCATAGGCTTCATCAGAATTCATACAGAAAAAGGCCAGGAACCCTTGCCCTCCAAAGGATAGCTACACTGTTGGATTATGTTTTTCCCAGAGAAACTGGAAGAAAGGAGGATGGCAGAATGAGCCATAGAGAAATAACAGAGAATAATCTTGATTTGTTTCCTATACCTCCTCAGTACAGCCTTGCCTAGGGAAGTACCAGTCTTGTACTAGTCTACCTATCCATCCACCTGCTTCACTGTCTAGTCCCCAATCTTCTTCTGAGCAGGCTAACTTCCTGTTTGGGTTTGTGGATGGAGAAATATGGCACTTGGAGGGTTCTACTTTTGCCCCTTGCCCCGGAATTCTTGGGGACAGAGGTTTCCAGTTTCCGGAAATGTGGTCCTTCCTGGTTAGTATTATTAGACTGTCCTTCCCCATCCCCTTGTCACCTTCCCTCCCCCATTCCTGCCCGGAAGCCAGTGGCCCCCAGAGCTGCTGGGTCCTGTGGCCAGTGCTGGGTCCAACTAAGCTGTGACTATATTTATCACAGCCATTTCTTCAGCTCCAATATTAGGTTACGGTTGTCCTAAAAGTCCAACTTGGCTTGGCCCTTCCTTGCTGACCTGCCCTGAAGCCAAAACTACTCAGGTCAGTCATATGGCACTGGACCCTAGGAAGATGAGGAGGGGACCAGGGAGTATCAAGCATGTCCCAAAATATGGGCCCTTCACCTTCCATGGCATCCGAGACGGCGCTTTCCATGCTGCAGCTCTGTCTTTGGGGGTTCTGGGATGGTCTCCTTCGGGACTGCAGAAGGAGAAGGGTTGAGTTAGAAGGGCCAAAAGGCACAGATGGGGTAGGGCCAGAGATGGAGGAAGAGTTGTAGGGAGTCCTTTCATCTGATAGAATAGCCATCTGCTTCCACGCAGAGCCTAACTGAGGATTTTAATAGACTGAACACCAGGCCTGGGGATCAGACAAGGGTGCCAGGGGTGTTGTGTTAGGAAGGGGAATTCCTCAGATTTTCTTTGAACTAAATGGATGACTGTGCAGCAAACAGGATAATTGTTGCATGAGATGAACAAGGTATGAATTAATAGCTCTCTGGCACTTCTGAATAATAGGGTTGCCCCCCCCCCATACACACACCATGAGACAAGGAGGTCAGTGTTGCAGCTGTCCTCCCCCTCCTCTATCTTTATATCTCCCATCCAGAGCTAGACACCTCCCCACTTGACCCCAGCCTGAAGGAACTGGTTACATCACAGAACACATCGTACCTCTTCTGTATCCAGGCCACCATTGCAATCCTTCCCCTGCATCTGGTCCCCATCTCCCTCACCACTCTCCAGGGCTGCTTGAGCCTATAAACCACCAAGGATGAATTAGGTGAGGCCTTTCCTTAAACTATGAACCATTTCCTGAGACTAACCATCCCCTTAGCTTAGGCATGAGCAGAAAGAAGACAAAGGATAAGGGCCCCAACTTCAGGTTATTCCAAATCATGCAGGATAGTCAGACCCTGCATCTTGAAAATCAGCGTGATTTTGGATGAATGGAAGGAGGATGGTATTAGCGTAAGCCTATGAATCTGAACAGATCCCATTCTATTTTCATTCCTGTTTCTACTCTTTATGGGTTATTGTTGGTCTTTCATTCTTGAAGAGGACCAATGACATCACAAGGGTGATGTCTTTGTGGGTTAAGAATGCAAAAGGAGATGGATGGTTCCTCTAATCTCTGGATTTAGGCCAGCTCCTCCTCCACAGGCCACATAGCACCAAAACCTTGCTTTTCCTAACAATTTGTCTAACAATGCTAGGCAAAATCACATTCTCTAATGAGATGCATCTCTAAGCCTTTTTGGCCAAGATTGGCCTAGAGGTAAATACATAGACTTTCAGAATGTCAGAGTTGGAAGAGAACTCAGATCATTTAGCCTAGGGGTTATTAACCTTTTTCAAATCATGGGTGCCCTTTATTAGCTTGGTAAAGCCAACCAGCCTCTTCTCAGAAGAATGTTTTAAATGTATAAAATAAAATCTATAAAATAACAAAAGAAACCAATTATATTGAAATAGAAATATCAAAATATTTTTCAAAAGACAAAGTCAGGGACTCCAAGTTTATAACCCTACATGTCACTTAAGAGCCTTACTTAAAGGAAACCTAGAGAAGGGAAGGGACTTGCCCAGGGTCGTGTGTGTGTGTGTGTGTGTGTGTGTGTGTGTGTGTGTGTGTGGTTTGTCCTTCATTCTCTAAGAGGACCATGACATCAGGAAGATGATACCATGACTTGCAAACAAACTGGATTTTGTGAGGGAGAGCTGCAGAAAGCCTAATCTAAAACCCCAGGTTTCCTGACTTCCAGTCCAGGAATCTCTTTCCCTAGCACCAACACCACCCCATTTCCCTTGTAATGTCTCGAGTCAGGACCCTCTACTCTCTCTCTCTCTCTCTTTCTCTGTCTGTCTGTCTGACAGCCTCTGCCCTCCCTTACCCCCACCCCATACGTCCTTCATCACCATCCCCCCCACAAGGAAATGTGGGCCCCGTGGGTCAGGCCCCAGCTCCGGGTCTGTCCCCCAGCCCAAACGCTGACCAGTTTCTCCTGTTCCTCCTGGTGCTTCTTGAGTTTCTCTAGCATCTGTCGGAACTCCTCCTCCTTCTCCTGCTCCTCTGCCAGGGTGGCATCATTCTGCTCCGCGTAGGCCATGGCCACCACCGCCAGGATGAGGTTGATGAGATAGAAGGAGCCCAGGAAGATGATGACTACAAAGAAGATCATGTAGGTCTTGCCAGCCGCCCGAAGGGTCTGCGGGAATTGGGGAGGAAGGGGGATGTCCTGTGACTCCCTCTCTGAGCATGACCTCACCCACCCGATAACAACAAACAACCAGGGTAATGTAATGTCGACAACAAGAAGCCTTAGAGCACCAACACCACAGTGAGTTTGGGACCTCCTCGATGTGGGAAATGCCCTCTGGCATGCCTGCCCATCCTGTTTGACTCTTTTCCTTTTTATAAAATAGATTAAAAAATTTTTTTCCCATCAACTATATTTCCCATCGTATCCCTCCTTTTCCCTCTCCCTCCCAGAAAGCTATCCCTATAACAAATAATTTTTTTACCGTTACTATTTTTATTCGTAACAAATACTTTTTTTAAAAAAAAAAGACAAAGAAAAGAAAAAAATTCAGCAGAACAGATCAATACGTTGCAAAAACAAAAAAATACAACAACCCCCTGACATTATCTATGCAACATTCTGCTCCCATGAAATCCCACCTCCCCCCACCCCACCCCTGTAAAGTAGTGGAGGGCGGCCTCATCTCTCTTCTTTGGGGTCAAGCTTGTCCTTTATAATTTTGCTGAGTGGCTCTTTTTATACCCTCCCCTAAGTTTGCCAGAGGGGAATTTACCCTGGGCTGCAGACTTTCCCCATGTCATCTTGACATAGTAGTAATAATAATAATAGTAATAGTTAATATAATAATAGCAATAATTTATATAGTGCTTGAAAGTTTGCAAAGTGTTTTACAGCTACCTCATTTTGTTCTCACAACAATCTTGGGAGGTAGGTGCTGTTCTTATTCCTATTTTATGGAGGAGGAAACGGAGGCAGACAGAGGTTAAATGACTTGCCCAGAGTCATACCACTAGGAAGTGTCTGAGGCTGGATTATACATTCTGAAACATGATCTAAACATCCATTCTTCTGGCTGTGTTCCACAGTTAGCTAGGTGGTACAGGGTGAATGTAATCATTTTGATCCCTGTTTTATAGATAAGGTTCCAGGAGATTACAGCTAAACCTTCCAAATCTCGGGGGTTAAGGGGAGCATCTCCAGCACATAAAATTTTTTGGCCCTTCCTTCAGTATTAGAGAGGTCTGGATTATTAGAGTATCAAAACATAAAACATGTTATACTATAAATAAATATATTACATTTATATACTTTATGTAGTACATGAGTGTATATATAAATATACTATAAATAAATATAAATAAAACTATAAATAAAATATATTTTATAATATTATACATATATTTTCTGCATTTCTGCATTTCTAAAACTTTTTCTGTGTTGTCTGCTGGCTTTTGCATATTGTCTGTGGCTTCTGCAAAACTCCCAAAAAATTCCCATTTAATTTTTTATGCCGACCCATGATGTATCCTAACTGTGATGGGGAGAGTTGTGATGTGGAAAGGATAATTGTACTTGACTTGCTCCTTGCCAATCAACCATACCCTTCCCCTGCCTACTGCTCCCATCACCCCCAACAAATAATAAAACTATTAAAATTATATTAAAATTTAAAACTATTAAAATAATAAAAGTATTAAATAAATAATAAAACTGAATGTCTGTGTAACCAAAAACCCTGAGGAAGAGAGATCCTTCCTTCAGGGAGCCTACAGCACAATCCCGGAGGGGAGGCAGAGAAGGAACAGATCAACTTAGTGGACAGACAGCTTGCCTCAGGGGCAAGAAGACCTGGGTTGAAGTCCTGCCTTTGACACCTCCTGGCTTTATGTCCCTGGGAAACTCACTTAACTCTAAGCCACCATCCCTCATCTGAAAATGAGAGATTTGGATTAGACGGCATCTGTGGTCCCTTTCAGATCTAAATTTGTGATCCTATGACCCCTCAGGCAGAGCCTGGCCAGCCTCAACAGAGGTACCTACACTCTCCCTTCCAAAGTGTGTACTAGCCCTGCCCTATTTCTCAAGAGCTTTAACAACTCACCCCCACTGTACCACACGTGCATAGGCAGACCTTCAGCTTTGTGTGTGTGTGTGTGTGTGTGTGTATGTGTGTGTGTGTGTACACATACACACGCACACACACACACACACACACACACACCATGGTCCTCTCCTGTTTCCTCTTTCCATAGACATTACTCTAGAGCTCATTCAATGCCCCCCTCCAAATTCCCTGGGATGAGGGAAAGAGGAGTGAAAGGCAATTGTGTGGGTACCAGGATCCAGAGAGACAGGAAAGAAAGCTATGAATGTGAGTCCCGGGAAAGCTAAGTAGGAGAAGAGTAGGAAGTCCCCAGGAAGGGAGTAAAGGTAGGAAGAAACCATCTGGGAAACAGATTAGACTTGATTTCTCTTGACTGCCGAGGTCAGAATTAGGTACAAATACAATGGAAGCTACAATAAGCAGATTTCTGCTAGATACAAGGGGAAAATTTCTTAAGATTTAGAGCTGAGAGTAGAATGGAGTTAATTATACAAGCAGTGTGGTCTCCACCTCTGAAGATTGGACAACCATTAGTTGGGGATGCTGTAAATAGGTTTGATGTTTAGGTGTAGGTTAGACTAGATGATCCCTAAGGGCCCTTTGTACTTTGGGGTTCTATAAAACCAGGGTCCTAAGACCCTAAGAGAAGAGTGGTCTTGGGGGCCTTAGGGGAGGGCGTACCAGCTGGAAGAGGTTCTCCCAATAGTCTTGTGTCATGAGTCGGAAGAGGGCAAGGAAGGCCCAGCTGAAGGTATCATAACTGGTGTAACCATAGTTGGGATTCCTGCCTGCCTTCATGCACTCGTAGCCCTCAGGACAGTGCCTGAAAGAGAAGGAAGGAGGTTAACAGGGGATGTACTGAGGCTGGATGTAGCTTCCTCCAGCCTTTCATGCCCATATAGCCTTTACTAACTACTGAGGGGCTTGTAGCCTTGGAATCCCTGAGTTGGGGCATGGAGGAAGGAAGAAGATGGAGTTGGACTCTTCCTAATGTCTTCGTACTTGGGCCAGTGCCTTGGGAAAGGAAGAGCTTGAGTTTTTGACTGGTAAAGAGCCCCAGAGAAGGGATGTGGAGAGAAGTCACCTAGGTTCTCGGGCAAGATGGATCTGAGCTCCACTATGGAGGGAAGCTTGGTGGTGCCCAGTGAGCAGGTCCTGCCTCTACCCTCAGGCACCCATGTACCAGCTGGATCATTTTCCCCTTTCTCTGTATGTCTTGTTTTCCATAGCCCCATCTCAAGTCCCTGCTTCCAACCAGCCCCTTTTTCTTCAATGGACCCTCTTTCTCCCCTAGCCTTTTCCATCCCTTCTAGCTCAGTATCTCCAGTCTGTGGTGGTAGCTTCGTCCTTCCCCCTGGTATCACTCACCCTGCATCACTGCTGTTCCCACAGAGCAAGGCATCAAGGGCACCATCCAGGAAATAGAAGTTCCCTTTGTTGGGAATGAGGGGCATAACAGGTCATGGAGGAGGCACATCATGAATACAAACATGTTTTTGGGACATGTGTGTATATAAACATACATAAATACATTACATACATACATGCTCATATTCCCTATTTCCCACCCAAGTGGGAAAAAGGGGCTATGGCTGCCCTGACTGTCCTTTGAACTCCTACTGCTCCATCTTCCCTTCCCTTCTGCCCATCCTCAGGCCCCTGTCTCAGTCTAAGTATCTCCAAGGAACGTGACTTCAGGAGATAGAAGCTCAGAGTCCATTGTGGCCAGAGCAACACAAAGCAGGTGACGCTAAGTGTTTCTATGATGCTGAAGACATATATATACAGTCAGTTCTCATCATTTGTGGTAGCTTTGTTCTATAGAGTCAACTTGAACACTGAACCATTGGTGCTAGGGGAAATACAGGGTTAAGTTCCTGTGAGCCTATGGTCACAACATTCACTTTAACACTTTCCAGAGTGGCCTCAAATACAGATGGACAAATTTCCTCTTCCTTTTTCTGGACATACCTTATTGTTGATTCATTAACACTGAACTCAACTCTGACAACATTATGACTCATGCCCAAATGAAGCTTATCTACTGCATGTGTTCTCTCCATAAAACATATTGCAGCCTTTTTCAGTTTAGAGACTCTAGACAGCACGCTTCAGTGCTATGCTTGGGGGCCATTTTAAACAGTGAAATCACAAAAAAAAAGCACAAAAATGTAGAATAACATGGCACTAAATAGATCTTGAAAAGAACCTCAGCTGGGAACATTGCCAAAGGGTGATTCAAATTTTTTGCTGCTCTTTGCACTGCACAAATGACCAAGGAAGCATCTTGAGTGTTGATTTGGGGGTTAAAAATAAATTTTATCAAGCAGGCAAATTTGCAAATACGGAATCTATGAATAATGAGGATCGACTACATATATACATATACATATATGTATACGTATAACATATACATATATACACATATAAATGTACATAATATATTTTACATGTATACAGATAATTATCTATATATAATATACAGATCTCTTTCTCTCTGTCTCTAACTTTCTCCGCCTGGAAAGATAGGATGCTATTGTTGCCTATAAGTGAGTATCTGTATGGATTCCAGAATAAACAGAGAGAGCTAGGTGCTCAGAGGTTGGAGAAAAGGACTTCCCTGAAGGTGAGAGGCCAACAGAAGTATAACTAGTATAGGGCAGTTGGAGCTTTGTCCTAGGGCATTTAATTTGCAGGGCACTGACATTACTTGGAATTATTTGGTGTACTGGCATGAGTTCACTTTCCCTCTTCTACCAGTCCCAAGCCATTTCTACCTCTCTACCCTAGCCCAACTTCCACAGCCTCCTGAAGTCCATGCTCTGAGGTTTCTGGCCCCCCTTCCTCTACCCCTCCCAGCCAGTCCTCTTCCTTACACCCCAGCTGAAGGCTCCTTCTTTCTGGCCACTTGTCCTGGGCACAAAAATCATGATCACAGCTCTTGAGGCCTAGCCCTTCTCACCTTCATCATTGATGTAGGCATCCCAGTCAAAGGTAAAGTTGCTGTATCCTGTCTCATTACCAAAACCCGTCTCATTGCTGAACAACGCCGTCCCGTTGTCATACCAAGTCTCATTGATGCCACTGAAGGGGGGTGGCCATTTCACACATTTGTGCCTCAGATTCCCCATGAAGAGCTGCAGCCCAACTAAGGCAAAGACACTCAGGCAAAAGACTGTGAGGATCATCACATCCGACAGCTTCTTCACCGACTGGATCAGTGCCCCTACGATCGTCTTCAGTCCTAGACAAGAAGATGGCGGTGATGGTGGGCATGCATGGGGGTGCACCAGGGAAATAGCTTCCCTCCCCCATTACTGAACTCACCATACTCTGACTCTTGTTCTCTGCATCAGTCACCTCTTTCAACACCCAGCTTAAAGACTTATTCTCTTCGTGAAGCCGTCCTAGATGACTCCAATTATTTCCTAAGTTGTGTATGTCCTTGGTTCTGTTTCTCATAGATTCTTAGACTTTAGGGATCTACACTATCTCATAGTAACAGTTCACACTTATATCACACATTAAAATACTTTACATGCATAATCTCATTGCATCTTTACCATAGCACTGTATAGGAGGTATTATTATGTCCATTTTACAGATGAGAAAGTGAGGCTCAGAGAAATTTAAGTGATTTGTCAAGGGTGACTCAGGGAGTAAATATCTGAGGTGGGATTTAAACTCAAAGTCTTCCTGACTTCCCTCTCATTACCTTTCATTTCCACCCTATATAGCTTGTTTGTGCATAATTATTTGCATGTTGTCTCCTTTCCAGAGTAACACAGCTAGTAAGTATCTGAGACTGGTTTTGAATTCAGGACCTCCTGGCTCTATGTCCAATACTCTGTCCATTGTGCTACCTAACTGTTTCTTGAGGGCAGGAACTATTTTAGCCTTTCTTTGAATCCCCATTGCTTAGCATAGTGCCTGACACACAGTAGGTACTTAATAATTGTTTGTTGCCTGATTGACTTCAGATCCAACCTCCTAGACACCGTCACATTCTTTATACTTGATTAAATGCTACCTCGACTTACTCTCTGCTTGGTCAACATATGTACAGGCACCCAGTGGGTCCTCCACTATAAAACAGAGATAATAGCACCTCTCATTCAAGACTGTTGTGAAGAACAAATGAGCTACTATTTGTAAAGCACTTAGCACAGTGCCTGACACAGAAGCTGCTAAAAAAAAATTCTTCCTTCCTTCCTTCCTTCCTTGCTTCTTCCCTCCCTTTCTCCCTCCTTTCTTTCTTCTTCCTTCCTTCCTTCCTTCCTTTCCTTCTTTCTTTCTTTCTTTCTTTCTTTCTTTCTTTCTTTCTTTCTTTCTTTCTTTCTTTCTTTCTTTCTTTCTTTCTTTCTCTTTCTTTCTTTCTTTCTTTCTTTCTTTCTTTCTTTCTTTCTTTCTTTCTTTCTTTCTTTCTTTCTTTCTTTCTTTCTTTCTTTCTTCCTTCCTTCCTTCCTTCCTTCCTTCCTTTCTTTCCTTCTTTCTTTCTTTCTACCTTTTTTCTTTCTTTCTCTCTTCCTTCCTTCCTTTCTTTCTTTCCTCCTTTCTTTCTTTCTCTCCTTCCTCAAATATAGAATCATAGATTTATACATTTAGAGCTAGAGAGGGTTTTAATCCCCAAGTAAAATGTGAGTTTTTTTATTTTGCTTTTTTTTTTGGTGAGGCAATTGGGGTTAAGTGACTTGCCCAGGGTCATACAGCTAGTAAGTGTCAAGTGTCTGAGGCCAGATTTGAACTCAGGTCCTCCTGACTCCAAAAACTGTTAGCTTCTTCAGGGCAGCCTAGCTTATACTTCATGTCCAAGTATCTCCAACTCTTAGCATTGCACTTTGTACCAAATAGTCACTTCATAAATTTTGCTGAGTTGGAATAGAGACCATCTAGTCAAATCCCAACATTTTGCAGATGAGGAAACTGAGACGCAGAAAGATGAAGTGACTTACATGAAATCACTTTATAAGTGGCAGAATGGAGACTAAAACTTGAGTCATCGTACTCCAAACCAGTGCTCTTTTCACTCCACTTCTCTGACTTCTCGGATTAATTGACTAATTGATTGATCTTGAGAAATAATTTGTTACTGCCCTCTGGCGCTATATCCACAGACAGCTGTCTATTTTTGATCATTTCTAGAGACAGAAAGAACAACTCCACAGCTTCCCTTGAGCGCACATTCCAATGACCCATCCCTTTCATCCTCAAGAGGTCCTTCCTCCTACCACACCAGAATCTTGCCTCCTTTAGAAGCCCATTTCTTCTTGTTTAGTCTTACATGGGCAACATGCTTCAACAGCCTCCTCATCAAAACCTACCACAAACTTAGAGACAGTGAGCTGTGTGGTATAGGAAAGAACCCTTGACTGAGAGTCAATAGACCTGAAGTATCATCCTGGCTCTAATTCTGACTAACTGTGTATTCCAAGACAAGTTGTATGCCCTTTCTAAGCCTCAGTTTCCTTCTTTGTAAAATGAGATGGTTGAACTAGATATCTCACATTTATAAAGCAATTTCCTCACTATAATCCTTGAGGAAAATAATATAACTACCGTTATCACCATTTTAAAGTCAAGGAAATTGAGGCGAAGAGAGGTTTTGTCCATGATGATATAATATCTGAAGACAGAATTTGAATCTTGAACCCAGACCACCTGACTCCAAGTCTGGCCAGCATTTTGCCCCTCTGCTACCTGGAATTGACTTCTAAGGTCCTTTCTGTTGTTATTCACTCATTTTAGTCTTGTCTGACTCTTAGTGACCTCATTTTGGGTTTTCTTGGAAAAGATACTGGAGTGGTTTGCCATATCCTTCTCCAGCTCATTTTACAGATGAGGAAACTGAGGCAAACAGGGTTAAGTGACTTGCCCAGGGTCACCCAGCTAGTAAGGTCAGATTTCAACTCAGGTCTTCTGATTCCAGGCCTGGTGTTCTATCCACTTTGCCACCTAGCTGTCCCCTTTCTAGTTTTGATATTATAGTGTTTCTTCCTTCCTAGTGTTAGAGTGTTTCTTTAATTTTTCCTCTAAGAACTTCTTCTCCATCCCTTTGATCAACATAGTCTCCACTTTCTCTACCTTTTCCAGGTCCTAGGTCTCTTACTTCCTATAGTGACAGATTCTTTTATGCTGTTTTTACTTTGCGCTTGTCAACTACATTACTTTGGAATCATTTTGCTGTTGTTTCTCGTATATGTCTGTGTGTGCTTGGTCTCCCTAATGAAACCAGAAGCTCCTTAAGGATATAACACCCTGTCCCAAAGCCCACCAGGATGGGACTCACTCCCTACTGATGGAGATGAAGATGAGGGCTTTCATCTCCTTCAATAAAGAGAGAGTCCCATCCTTATGGGCTTAGGGACAGAGATTTCAAGGGAAAGATAAGAAATTCTTCTAGGGACCTTGTGCTGTGTTTTAACATAGCAAGCACACAATGGTTCTGATGTTGCTTACTTTCTTTTCCACTCTGGTCATAGGTGACTTTTTCTACCCTGTGTTTTGGTCTAAGTACCTCATGATGGACAGGAGCCTATGTTCCTATGGCCTTAAGCTTTTTCACTCTGGGAAAATTTCTTTTGATCTGTTAAAGGACAACAGCCTGGGGGTACGGGGGAGAAAGAAGAGGAGCAAACGCTTCCAAGGCGTGGAAAATGGGATGGAAGCCAGTACAGGCTTAGGGATGTGTTTGTGTCAGGAATAGGTGACCCTCCCCCTTCAAAAATATAGGCAGTTAGGTGGCAGAATGGATAGAGTATTGGACTAAGAGCCAGGAGGTCCTGAATTCAAAACCAGTCTCAGATACTAGCTGTGTGATTCTGGGCAAGTCACTTCACCTTTGTTTGCCTTAGTTTCCTCATCTGTAAAATGGGGGTAATAGAAGCACCTACCTCCCAGGCTTGTTGTGAGAATAAGATGAAATAGTATTTTTAGCAGCTAGGTAGCACAGTGGACCTGTGTCAGGAAGCCCTGAATTCAAATCTGATCTCAGATACTTACTAACTTATCCTGGACAAGTCACTTAACCTCTGCTTGCCCCAGTTTCTTCATCTGTAAAATGAGGATAATAATAGCACCTACATCCCAGAGTTGTGAGGATAAAATGAGATAATATTTGCAAAGTGCTTTGCAAACCTTGAAGTGTCATATAAATGCTAACCATCATCATCATCATCATCATCACCTTTTGTATTATTATTATTATTCAAAGTCCCATACCCTACCCTACCGCAGAACACCCAATACCTGGAATGACTGTTATAGTCTTCAGGGCTCGAAGCACACGGAAGGTCCTCAGGGCTGAGATGTTGCCCATGTCCACAAACTCTGTCAGGTACCTGAGGAAGAGGACAGTGGAGAAGTATTCATGCCATAGCCTTAGGAGGTGAGGAAGGATCAGTTGTGTGTCTATGGAGGGGGAAGTGGGGATGGTGTAGCAGATACCACTCGGTTGTTTTAGGTCCACCAAATTAAAAGGATTCCTAAGGAGACAAGGCTGGAGTTGGGGACCCTTTCTAGGTGTTGGGAGGGACCCAAACTGCATGTAACCCCTATTATGAATCCCAAGAAATATTCCAGTAGAACATGAGACAGAGGAGCTGGAGAGAATGCTGTTTAATTCTCTCAAAGAAAGTTTGGGGGTTTTGTAATAATGCATCTATAAAGCACTTTACAAACCACTTTCCTTACAACCTTGCGAGGTTGCTCAGGCAAAAATTGTTGTTCCTATTCTACAGATAGGGAAACTGAGTCTCAAAGGAATTAAGGGACTGGGTGCTCAAGGTCACACTGCTAGTAAATAGTAGAACTAGGACTTAAATCCACGTCCTCTGACTCCAAGCTCTCTGCATTACACCATACTTATGGTCTGATAGGGTAAGACCATCCACTTCTCAGGATCTACCCACAAGCTAAAAGGTCACCTAATCATGCTGTTCAGGACTCCTGATTCCCATTCTCCCACTTCTCTATGACAGCACCTTCCTGAGGTGAGTTCCCTCACACTCTCTGGACCCTTTTCCTGTCCCCTCAGAATTCCCCTCACGCCATCATGATGACACTGAAGTCTAGCCAGTTCCAGGGGTCCCGGAGGAATGTGAAGTCATCAATGCAGAAGCCTCGGGCAAGCATCTTGATGAGAGACTCAAAGGTGTAGATTCCTGTAAAAGTGTACCTGGGAGCAAGGGTGAAGCTGAGAGTGAAAGAACAGCCATGACCAGGGAAGAACACTAAGGTGAGACTTTTTTCTTTTTGCCCCAGCACTGTCTTAGGACACACTTCTTTCCCTATATGATCCTGTATCCTAGCTTATAACAGCCTCATTCCGGAGTCCTCTGCTTGCTTCCTCTGGCAGCCTTATACCAGGTGAGTGTACCCTCCATCCATCCTTCCCCCACACCCATTCCTGCCCAAGCTTCTTGCCCAGATGTGAAAATTCTTAGTTATAGCTTTGGGTGAGGGTGAGGGTATATGTGTATGGAGTATGGTAGGTGGGCTTATGAGTGGTTGGGTGTAGGTGTGAGTGTATGAGTCGGAGAGAGGGAAAGACAATGAAGGTAGTGGTAACAGATGTGTGTCTCTGGGAGGGTGAAGGTGACAGAGGTTGTGGAAACTCAGGAATATTAAGGAAGTATCCCTGTAGGGATGAGGGTGACAGCACCAGAGTGGATCTTTCCCAGGATTCAAAGGGTATATTAAGGACAAGGGTTGAGAGGGAATCTGCTGCATCCCAAGGAGAGTGACTGTGATGAAGTATGCTACTATCCCCTTTCAGGTAGGGGGACTGAACCTATTATTTAATTGGTATGAGGAACTCCCTTAAAAAAAAACAACAAAAAAACAACTCCCCCTACTAATGATACTTGTCTGCAACTTTTTTTTTTTTAAGGCAATTGGGGTTAAGTGACTTGCCCAGGGTCACACAGCTAATAAGTGTCAAGTCTTTGGTCTGAGGTCACATTTGAACTCAGGTCCTCCTGACTTCAGGGCTGGTGCTCTATCCACTGCACCACCTAGCTGCCCCTGCAACTTCTAGTCTTAAAGAATTGTCTAGAGCACTTAGAGGTTAAGTGACTACCCAGTCACGATGCATCAGAGGTGGGACTTGAACTCCGATCTTCTTTTCTCTGAGGCCAGCTCTCTAGCTATTGCACCACATTATTCTTAACATACCCCTGGAGATAAGGATTTTGGTGAAATGAAGGTATGTCCTGGGAGGGAAATGTCCTTGGATCATGTGTGAGAGGTGTAGAGGAACCACACACGTGAGACTTACTCCACATTTTTGGACCAAGGTGGGGGGTCACTCATAGTCATGAACACACAGTTTGCCAGGATGGTGATCATGATGAATAAGCTGAACAACGTTAGGAGGGGGAAGGTTAAGGAAAGTTTGAGAGTAAACAGGTAGGGAGGAAAGGCAAGGGGTCAATACTAGTCAACACTTTAGATTCCTTCTTTATGTCCCTCTCAATAAATGTGACTTCCCACAGCCTCCTCCCTTCCCTGTCTATCCCTCCAGCTGCTCTCTCCAGTTCCAGCCCAGGTGCCCCCATGCCCATTCTGGGAAGGATATGAGTGGATGAGAACTTTGATGGCCCCACGCCTTATCTTACTGAAGGGGCTCAGCATATACAGGGCTGGGGTGGCTGAGAATCGGAAAATGGACTTCCCCTTGTTCAACACGATGAAGGTCTGAGAGGCAGAGATCACGAGAGACACAGAGATATAGAAATAGACATTGAGAGATGTGAAAATACAGTGAGAGATACCGATAGACATTGAGTAAGACAGACTCAGATTGGGCAAGAGGGAGATGAAGACAGAATGTGAGAGGCACCAAGGAATGTGGACAGAGACACAGATACAGAAAAGGACCATGAGAGGTGCAAAGAGATAGACATGGAGATACAGAGGGAGGGAAAGAGATGAAGGGACAGAGATAGACAGTCAGAGACTGCAAAATATGTAGAGAAACAGGAAGAATTAGAGAAACCTATTGGTCAAAAGGTATGGAGAGCAAAGGTCACAGAGACAAAGAGACTGAAACACACCAAGAGGCAGAGATACAGAGAGATACAGGAGTGAGACCTTCTTGTCACTGTAGTAGGGATCCAGATCCTCCAGTGGGATGCCGATGAGCTCAGGTGGAGGGTCTCCATAGATGAGGGGCAGATTCTTCCCTGCTTCCAGGTCACTTCGTGGCTTCCTTTCTGACTCCTCAACCTCAAGCTGCTTGTTCCGAAGGAGTTTTGCCTCCTCCTCTATTGCCCGCTTCTCTATGGCCTGCAGGGACTCAGGAGTGAAGGGACGCAGGCAGTTGGGTCCAGGGGGCACAAGCGTGGGCACAGGTGGGCTTGCCATCCTCTCATCCTGTGATCAGGGGCCAGGGAGGGTGGGCAGGATCAGAGCAGCTGCAACACATGACCCCCCAGAGCCAGGGATCAGTGTGGCCATCCTGGGCCCAGTGCCAACCCAATGCCCACCTACTGCAATCAAGTACCTTTCTAGAGTTCACCCCCTGATCAATACCAGGTCTGCCCAAGACCCCTCCATGCCTTAGGACAGACAGATTCCAATATAACCTTCCTCCTTATGAGACCTTAACTGACCATAGGATGTCCCTGAGCACAGACTAGAAATAAAAGAGTAATCCCTAATTTACAAGATCTATTAGGAATTATGCATATATATATTTATATGTATATATATAATATATATACACATATATATATGTGTGTATATATATATGTGTGTGTGTATATGTGTGTTTGTGTATATGTGTATGTGTGTGTTCCAATAGGGACTCACAGCAAATCGTCTGATGGGTTTCAATGCACCAAAGCCATAATTCTCCTCAAAGGCCTCTTGGTTCAAGCACTTGGAGAATTATTGGGAATAAGTCTGCTGAGGAAAAAACATCACACAACATCCTTGTTGGTTTTTCTCCATGGAGATCCCACCCCACCCCACCCCACCAATAGGATCCAGGGATTAGGAAGGAGGCAAAACCAGGGTAAGGGAGTCATGCTTGGGAAAGGATAAAGTACTCAGTGAAGAAGCCAGAGCAAAATGAGGGGGATTGTAGGACTATAGATTTAGGGCTAAAAGGAACCTAAACAGTCCTCATTTTGCAGGTGAGGAAATGGGGGAAGGAGTTAAAAAGGATTTGCTTGGGGTTGAGTGTAAGTGATATGGAGGCTTCCCACCCTCCACTGTGGTTGGAGCGGGGTCATAGCTGTTGTAATCAGTTCTCACTTCAGACCTTTGGACAGAGAAAAGGAAAGAGGAGTTTCCCTGATCTCATACTCTACGTGATGCCCTGGTTAGACCTTGGTTCAAGGTGGCTCAGTAGTCTACCCTCCCTTTCTCCTTTCCAAGAATCACCTGGCTGCTGAAGTCCTACCCCAGGCAGGACATCTGGTTCCTTTACATCTAGTTACTCCTTCCCAGACTCCTCCACAATCTCATACCCAACTCCGTGTTAGAAGGGGAAGAGTGATTGACACCCCCATACACATACACTGAAAGGAGACATAATGATGGCCCTGAAGAAAAGGACCTCTAGACAGCCAGGGTGGGACACACACAGATACGACCTGCCACACACATAGACTCACTCAGTTATGGTTGAGTTGGGAAGAAGAGATACCCAAGGCATGGATGCCAAAGTTTGGACAGCTCCTAAGGAATGATCAGAGGATCACAGACTTCAAGATGGAAGGGTCCTTAGAGGCCATGTAAGGGTCAGAGAGTTCCCAAACTGATGAGGAAGCAGCTGAATTAACCAATCAAGAAACATCTACCATGTGCCCAGCATTGCGCTAGGCCCTGGGCACTGAGGAGAGTGTTCAAGGGAGGAGAATAAGGTTTGGGTAGAGTGTTGGGAGAAGGAGTCCCTTCCCTAACTCCTGTGGTACCTGGAAAGGGCATCAATTGTGTGTGTGTGTGTGTGTGTGTGTGTGTGTGTGTGTGTGTGTGTACTATAAGGATACAAATACAAACACAGAATGAGACACGTGCACACAGTCAGGTATGGACACTGGCAAACATAGAGGAAGACACTCAGAAACAATCACATAGTGAAATGTGGACAGAAACACAGAAACGAAATGAGGCAGAATTGCTACAGTCATGTGTGCACAGAGACCCATAAATGTAGACCCAATACAACATGTGTTCCCAGCGTGGCATACATGTGCTCCTAGCGGGTCTAAGAAATTTATCAAAGAGGTTCAGGGAATATCCGGTAAATATTGATATTGATACGTGATACATGCCAAAACATGATGTAACATAGCATGACACCTGACTTAATATGTTGTTTGATATTGTTTGGTCATGTCTGACCCTTTGTGACCCTATTTGAGGTTTTCTTGGCAGAGATACTGGAGTGGTTTGCCATTTCCTTCTCCAGCTCATTTTACCAATAAGAAAACTGAGGCAAACAGGGTTAAGTGACTTGCTCAGGGTCACATAACTATTAAGTGTCTGAGGCCAGATTTGAACTCATGAAGATTAATCTTTCTCACTCCAAGCCTAGCACTCTATCCACTGTATCACTTAGCTACCCATGTGACTTAACATAGCATAATGTAACAGGACATAGTATAATTATATAGTATAGCATAGCACAGCATAGCATGTTATACCATGATTTGACATAGATGATATACTATAACATATCAAAACATAGCTTAACATAATATAGTTTAGTAGAATGTAACAGAACAGAATAGATTATTCCAGAAACTCTGGATTGATTTCCAATCAAGTTACAAAATTTTTTGTGTATCCTTCTTGAAGAGAAACTAATCATTTTATTTTATTTCTTCTGTGCAAAGGCATGATAAGCTGTAGAAGTGGTTTACTTCCTTATTAAATGAGAGGCACAAGAAGGTTTACTAAAAAGCCAAGGAGTACAGAGATCAAAAAAGGCTGGAAGATTTTGCAATACACAGAGAAAGAAAACAGCTTGACCCAAAGAGAAACACAACATAACCTCACACGCACAGGCTCACAAGATGACGGCCCCTATGGAATCATAGACACTCCCTTCCTGATTGTGATCAACAGGCTGGGAGGAACAGTCCCTGGGGTCATTGGGCTGGGCTGGCCACAAACCCTTCCAACAGCTCTGGCTCCTCCAGCTCTCTCCCAGGCTCACACAAGGAGTCATGTTTCCATGGCATGATGACTCAACTCATTCTTCCAGAGGAGAAAGAAGGGTGAGAAGGAAAGAAGATGAGCAGAAGAGTAGAGAATCCCTCAAACAAACAGGAACCTCTATCAAATATGCCCCATAGTATCTCCATGGTACAGACTTCATCACTCACCTTATCACAATCCTCTTCATATCCTCAAACCATCCATCACCTTTCCAATTTATAACACGCACCGACAAAACAATCCTTCCATTATACACACTCTCACCACCTTATCATGTACATCCACATGCATCTTGCCTCCAAGATGGGCCCCATCATAAGCCCATCTTACCCCTAAACTGGATTGTAACCAAAGAAATAATTTTGAACAACAAGATTGTCCCAGAAAGACTCCCATGATCTCAGCATGATATTTAAGGAACTAGCAAATTAGAACTGAGACAGCAGCTCTCATCTCATAAATCACAGATCATCTCAATCTCTCAATCACTTACTTTTCCAAGTATGAATAGTTTCCCAAATTCAAAGAAGCTCAATTAGGATAACGGAGGCCTACTTTGACAGAAAGAGAGTCAAAAAACAGAGACAGCAAGTGATAAAAAGTATCCTAATGTATGTTGTAGACAGCTGGTTAGGTCTATGGTTAGTTCTAGTGGTTCTCAAACTTTTTTTTCCATGGACAAGTCTTGGTGGCAAACATTTCTAGAGAGCCCGTGGCCCTGCCCCTGCCCCTGCCTCTACCCTTTCTGTTTTCCCAGAGTAGGAGACAGAAAGTGTGCTGCTTCTGAAGACGTATCAGGCATGAATGAAAGGATGCCTGGGTTTTATGAATGATTAGTTCATACCAAAGACTAGTCCAAGATATAGTAAGAGAATCCTCACACAACCCACTAAACAACAAAAGAAGAAAATGGCTTTAATTCACCATTCAGGAAAATAAAAACCAACTAAAATTTTAAAAGAGTAATCAAATCAGTTAATGTACCAGAAAGGTCAGGTTGTTGGTGCAATGAATAAAGTGTAGGGCCTAAAGTCAGGAAGACTCATCTTTCTGATTTCAAATCTGGCCTCAGACATTTACTAGCTGGGTGACCCTGGGCAAGTCACTTCACCCTGTTTGCCTTATTTCCTCATGTGTAAAATGGAAATGGCAAACCACTCCAGTATCTTTGCCAAGAAAACCCCAAATGGGATCACAAAGAGTAGGACACAATTGAAAAACAACTCAACAACAAATCATACCCCTAACTGTGAGGTAGTGGGAGTTTGTGTCCAGGTCTTCTACATTTTCTTTCGGTGACCTTGCCAGCTCCCATGGGCATGATTATTATATTTATATAACTGATTCACGAATCTATCTACCTATCTATCCCTAGTATCTCCCCTGAAGTTCAGTCTTTCGTCACCAACTGTCTATTGGATGCTTCAAAATGGATGTCCAAGAGGCATCTCAACTCAACTCAACATGTCCAAGATGGAACTCTATCTTTCCCTCTTATGAACTTCCTTATTCCTGTCAATGGCATCACCATCCTTCCAGTCTCCCAGGCTTGCAACCTCACTCTTCCTTGACTCCTGGACACTCTCACTCTTCTCACATATCCAACCCATTGTTGTCATATTGTCCTTTCTATCTTTGCAACACTTCTCACATATACCCTCTTTTTCGCCACTCACACAGTTCTACTCCTGATTTGGACCCTCATCACATCTCAGTTGGATTATTGCAACAGCATTCTAACTAGTCTTCCTGACTCAAGTCTCTCCCCATTCTAATCTATCCTTCACTTAGTTGCCAAGGTGATTTTTTTTTCTGAAACATAGATCTGGTCATGGTACTCCCCGTCCTCGAACACACTGTGAGTGTCAGTGGCTCCCTCTTGCCTCCAGGATCAAATATAAACTACTCTGTTTGGCATTTAGAGCTCTCTTCTTACCTTTCCAATTTTCTTACATATTACTCCCTGACACACACTCTATGGTCCAGCCTGAGTGGCTTTCTTGCTGTTCGATGCACATAACCCTCTAGCTCCTGTCTCAGTGCCTTGGCCCTGGCTGTCTTCCATGCCTGGAATACTCTGCCCCCTCACCTCCGCTTCTTCGCTTTCCCATCTTCCTTCAAGAGTCAGCTCAAATCTCACCTTCTGCAGGAGGCCTTTCCTGACTCCCCCCAGCTGCTGATGTCTTTCCATCTCAGGTTACTTCCCATCTATTTTGAATATATCTTGTGATTAGTTAGGTATTTACATGTTGTTTCCCCCGTTAGAATGCAAGACCTTGAGAGTAGGAACTTTTTTTTCATGGGGGAGGGGAGCCTTCTTTGTATCCTCAGTGTCTGGTACACATTAAGCATTTAATAAACGCTTATTGACTGACAGATATTCTAGATTCTACTCTCTGCCACCTTACCACCTTACTTTCATTTTTCATCACTCCTCATCTAGTATTATAAGAGCCTAATAATTAATCTAAGTACAGCTAGGTGGCACAAGCAGGTAGATGGCACAGTGGATAGAGTACTAGGCTTGCAATCAGGAAGACTCATCTTCCTGAGTTCAAATCTGGCCTCAGACACTTACTAATTGTGTGACCTTGGGCAAGTCACTTAACACTGTTTGCATCAGTTTCCTTATCTGTAGAATGAGCTGGAGAAGGAAAAGGCAAACCACTCTAGTATCTCTGCCAAGAAAACCCCAAATGGG